AATCAACAATGCCTCACTCAACACTCAAGTGAAAAATATCTCACTTCACGACATATTGTAGAAGTATATTTGTTTGCATCACTACAAGGATTGACAAGAGTCTAATCTTTTTGAGAAAAGTTTAAAGATAAAAGCCAAAGTGGCAAAAATGGTTTGAAATGAGATTGATTGACTTTTAGTCTTCTCACAAAAAAAGTCAAGGTATTATTAAATTGATTGAAATTTATTTATGAAAATGTTTCGAAAATGCATGGACCTAAGTCCAAGTTTATTATGAAATTGTTTCAAGTTTCAAAACAAGAAGAGCTTTTTTTAAGGGAGGGAGAAGATTTTTGAAATTAAAGAAGATGGGAGGAGAAGAAGAGGCTATCCTAAAGCATAAGGTAAAAGCTAGGGATAAGAACCATCTAACCAACAAGAAGCCAATACTTGACATTATGAGTCAATATAAAATTCCCATTCTTCGGATTGAAACCAAGCAAGCAAAGATACTAGACCTCTTGAGAGAACAAAACTTCAAGTGTTTTAAGTCTTCACAAAAATTGGGCAGGGTAACGGCTGTATACGGGTGAATTCCAGATTACAAACAAATATCGTAATCTCAATTACCTGCACACAAACAAACAAACAACCCAATGTCTTGAGGTAAACCTCAAGAACTCCAGACAAAATATCAAATAAAGTCACAAAATCTCCAAGATAGGCCAAGGTCTCTAATCCTAAGTCCAAGAAGTCCATCACTCCATAATGCAAAGGATAGTAACCATGTAGTCCAAGTATCATTAATGATTTTATGGTTCATGTTGATTATTAAGTGTCTTTAAAAGGAAAAGAAAAGCTCAAGTGAGCAAAATAAAAATGACATAAAAGTAAATGCTCAAGTGAGCAAAATAAAAATGACATAAAAGTAAATGCTCAAGTGACCAAAGATGAAAATAGCATGAAATGTAAATGGTACATAAAGCATAAAAATAAAAGGGCATAAAGTAAAGTTAATTGTTAGTAATTAGTGGTTAGTAATTAGTGGTTAGTCGGATGACCATCTTGAAACTTGCATTTGGAACTCATTAGGGGATTGGTAGAACCAAAGCCTCTACACAACAAGTTGCATTTGCTTTTTGTCAAGTATATCATCCATTTTGGAATTCTCACAAGGCAACATGTAATGGTCAACGATGTTTAAGTGATCCGCGTTGACCAAAGGTGTTGTAGATCCATCAGAGGATTGGTAGAACCAAAGCCTCTACACGATGAATCTCAAGGTTATTGGATCAAAGAGATCAAATCAACATACTTGGGCTTGCAATCATAAGTTTGGGCCACGAATGATCATTTATTCGAATCGGGACAAAATTTAGCGCTATGTTAAGCAATCGTAAGTGGACTTATGTAGAAGTCGCACCTATTTTGAGGCCAGTCAATAGCAATCTATGTACTTCATGTTTGGATAAATGATATAGAGATCACCATCCCTTAACATGTAGCACAATAAAAAAATAAAGGGATAAGATGAAGAGGGAGGGAAATAATAAGCTAACTTGGATCACCATTTCAAAATTCTTTCATCTTTAAATTCAACCACTCCTCTAGATGGATTAAAGCACTAAACATATCATTAATCCAAAGCACAAAAAATGAATTAAATAATTCACTCTTAGGTAGATTTGAATTGATGAACATTTATCCAACTTCATCTACATCACAAAGTCCATTGAGTTTAAAGACAAATTGGACATTTAAAATTGCAATCCAAACCAACAATCACAAGGAGTGAGTAGAAAAAGCATTTTGGATCAAAGCTGCCCCAAAACAAGGCAAAAAATACATTATGTTCTGGTGTAAATCGATTTACACTACTATGAAAATCGATTTACACAGTATTATTTTCAAAAATTTATGCAAAATCGTGCTGTGTAAATCGATTTACACATAGTGCAAATCGATTGCACACAGAACAACAGCCAAAAACAGCATTTTAAAAGGCCAATTTCTTGTTCAAACTTTCCATCAAACACCTCATGATCATGGATCCAATTGAGCATGAAAATTCCATCAAATTATGAGAAAATAACACCATTGGAATCATAAAAGAATGCTCAATGAATAAATCCCAAAGATCACCAAGAGATCACATTGTGAAAGATGAATTATCCAAACTTACCAAAGATAGATCTAGAGAATTATCAAACAACTTCAAGAATTTGCTTAAATTCAACCACAAGAATCAATTGATCAAGCTTGGATGTAGAGAATTGATGGAGAAAAAATGTTTGGATGAAGGTTTAGCTCAAAGATTAGTAAGCTTCAATGCAAAGCTTACTAACTTTTTGAAAATGGAGCTTTGAGTGAATTTGGTAGGAGAGAATTGAGAGATTTTTTAGCAAGGTGGATTTGGCTATCAAAAGCTTGAAATTTGAATGAGATGAGGGCTATATTTATAGAGTTTTAGGATTGGGATTAGTGGTAATTTGGTAATTGATTCTTGGAGCCAAAATTTGAATTAATGAATTCTTTCAAAAATTAGAGCCAAAATTTGAATTAATGATAATTCTTTCAAATATTAGAGCCAAAATTTGAATTAATGATAATTCTTTGTAAAAATGAAAGATTGACACTAAAATTTGAATTAATTATACATCTTTCAAAAATGAAGGAAAATTGGAACCAAAATTTGACAATTTTAAAATGCTGATTTTTTTCAATTTTTCACTCCACGCAAATCGATTGCACTATATTGCAAATTGATTTGCACAGTGTATTTTTTCAAAAATTATGCAAAATTCACTTTGTGCAATCGATTGCACTCTAGGAGCAATCGATTGTACAATGAAGAAAAAAATGAAAATTTTTTTAATTCTTTTTCTTTGCAAATAGAGATTTTAGGGAAATAATACCGGAAAATCTTATTTGTCATATGCTTCGACTTGGTACCTACAAAACAAAAATATACAAAGACAAAGACAAATATTATTTTTTTGTATTTTGATTAGAAGTTAGTCAACAACACATATACAAAATACACAACCAAGGTGCTTGGAGATTCCTCAAGAGCAAACTTAAAGATAGGAAAAAGAGGAAGAACCAACTCTAATGTGATTTTGTTATGATCAAGTTGACATGATATGATAGGGGAATCTTAGGGGCAAAAATTGGGGTACAACAATACCCAATCAACATTAGCATTCTCGTTGAAGAACTTTCTTCCACATTTGTGTTTCTGAAATAGAGTTTTGATCCTAAATGTTCCAGTTCTCAAAACCCTGCTGCATAAAACCGTGTAATCACATTGTTGTTTGTCCTTACAAACAACCCTACACCTTGTCCCATCATTTTTGGCAAACCTGACCTCCCTACCATTCAACACATTGTGTTCCAATACAACCTTTTTAAATTGCTTCAGAGAAGAAAATTTCATTCCCACCTTGAATTTAAATTCTTTTCTAAGGTTTTCATGTTCATTAAACCTTATCACTGAAGGCCTACCATTATCACGATCATCATCTGCCCCACTATCAAGTTCATCTGTGATGTAATCATCCTCAATTACATGCTCCATTTGCATCTCAGTTGTAGTTAACCCTTTAGATATCCCTTAACCATTATCCATTTGACTTGTACCATCACCATTACCCACTCCACATGTATCAACATCTTCACCCATGTCTTCATCAAAACCGTGAATCCTCTCTTATTCACTATCTTCAAAGTGTATTCAATTCAATGAGTCTTCAGATGATTCATTGTCCTCGCCATCTTCATTTTTCTTAACATTAAGGTGGCCTTTTTCTTTCTCTTTTAACCTCTCCATATAAGTCTTCTCACCACTAGATAATCTTGTCTATGTATATATCTTAACATCACACTTACTCTCCTCGGTGCACTTAGCTAACATTGTTGCATCCTCATCATTAACAAGGGGTTTTAGATTATTTTCAAGTGAGCCATGTTTAGACTTCCACCATATTTTCACATCTTTAGTTTTGAATGATGAATCCATACCCTTAATTAAATCACAGACTTCAAAGAATGACCAGAAATCAGGATCTTGCCCACATACAGCGTAAACATCACCCCTTTTGTATTTTAATCTTTCATCCTTTACGAAGGACCTTTTGGTATAAAAGACAACCTTAAATGATCCCATTGCGTACACATTTCAATAAAAAGAGGGGTAACTCATATATTACCAACATATAGATTAAAGATGAAAAACCCTAGAATTTGAGACCACGCCATGGGGCATACAAATAATGCTCGGAATGAATAAACTATAACAAGTGAGACTTACCTAATCCTTGTTGGAACCGCAACAACGTAACAACCAACTGAAGTTTCTTAAATATTTGGGACAACAAGAGACAGAAATGTCAATGTTTTGTTATGTTGTCGAAGGAGAACTTATGTAATGAATTCCACTTGAGAGAAGTTATGTAATGATATATGCCACTAGGAAGAAGTTATGTAATGAACTCCACATCAGAAAATAAAACAAATTATTTAATCCACCTGTCTTGTCACATATGAAGCTGTTAGTGGAACTTGACGTTGAGGACCAATAGTCCAGACGAAATTTTTTGAAGGGACCAATCTTTAAAGAAAAACATTTAAGAGACTAAAAACGAAAATTGAGTTATTTACGGAGATCAAAAACTTATTTAACCTTAAAATCAATAAAAATCATCCAATTATCCATAATAAATTTTATAATTTAAAAATTATTATACTAAAATAAGACCGTTTGATTTTAATAGCACGGTCAAGATAGGCTATGTGAATGTGGAGTTTGCTGACTACAGCAAATCTGAATCCCCAACTCTCTAATTGACTCAGGCTACTCTTCTATTCTATTGCACTTCCATTTGGGCGCCAAAAAGGTTTCTAGGTTTTAATATCTCTCTGTCTCTTCAATTTTCTTCTATATATTTGCTTCAGTCTCTTCAAATTCATTATCTCATAACATCACTTTTCACAGTGAAACAAACTCTTACAATTTTCGAGAAATGTCTTCAACTGGTAAGGGCAAGAAGCGCGAGGAGCAGGACAACGCTTCCGATGGCGACTCTGAAGGTCACGCGCCTCCCAAAAAGACCCAAAAGAAAGATTCCGACGATGACGCTGATAACATCACCGTCTGTGAGGTTTGCTCCTCAAAAACCCTAACTCCATTTCTAGGGTTTTGTTTTTGTTTATTTATTTTTTGTTTCGTTTAACGCAGATAGGGAAGAACAGGAAGGTTACTGTGAGGATCTGGCAGGGGAAGATTTGGGTCGACATTCGTGAGTTTTACCTCAAAGATGGGAAGGAATTGCCTGGGAAAAAAGGTGTTTTATTCATATTATCCTCTCATTTTTCTATTCAATGGCCTATGGAAATTGTTTGTGATGAATTTGTGAAGTTTGTTGCATTGTTGTTTATGAAATATTAGCATGGGTTATTAGGTTATTGGGTTTTGGAAGTGAATGTTTTCTATTTACTGTAGTTGTCTAGTTTATTGTTCCAAGAGAATGTTCAAGTAATGGATATGAAGTAATGGCGAATGCTGGCCTTGTGAACTACTACATCTGTGTTGGAAATTCACGTGTGACTGCCTTTTCCTGTGTTACTAGTCTTTGATTGCCTGTGTTATTGATGAGTGTTATATTGCATGTTTGTTTGTCTGCATGTCTTTTGATCCAATTTACTTTTATAACTTTTTTTACGGTATTCTAGACAAAGCTTTGTGGTATTGAGATACATGTGATCTTGGGATTATTTTGGATTGTATGAGAAGGTTTCAGTTTGGATCATGTAGAGTATCTGAGTAGATATTGTTGTCTTCAATTCATTTGCTGAAAATTTAGTTCTTGATAGAATTCATTGACATCAACTGATCTTTGTACTCAGTCCACCAAGTTGGATAATGTTTGGTGGTACTGTTGGCTGTTAAATTGATGTAAAGAAGTTACAATGACATCTTTATTACTTGTTTTCAGGTATCTCTCTGTCCATGGATCAGGTATATAACTTTATTTAACTTGTATTTTTTCAAGTTGCTTTCTATTCTGGTCTCAAATCTGCTGGTTGGTCTACAGATTTAGAATATACAAGATTTGGAACCCATTATTCATTCATTAATTTTCTGTCCCTCCCTTTTGTGCAGTGGAATGTGCTTCGTGATCATATTGGAGACATTGACAAGGCTGTTGTTGAGAAGTCTTAGGAAGTTGTGCATTAAGTGGAATTACCTGGCCAAATATTTTCAATGGGTTTCTTAGTTTTTTTTTGTATCATTAGAAGTATTAGACATGGTGATGTGATGTAGTATTTATCCTAGTATTAGGTAAGCATGAAAACCTCTGGATTTTGTTTTCTGCTGGGTAAATCTTGAATGTTCTTCAAGGTCTAAACTTTAATTTGTAGCTTCCTTGAAATCATGATAGTTGGGGCATTGAGATATGGATCTTATGGTTATCAATGCGTATGTAAAGTGTCGATCAGTTAGTGTGTAGGTTTGTTATTCACTATTTTGCTTGGCCGTGGGTTGAGATTTTTCCCATTCCTTCTATTTGGGAGTTTATAATGAATGATGTATATCATATTATTTTAATTTTTAAAAAAATATCAAATGCTAATGATTAAAAGAGAATTTATCTTTGATGTCCAAAGAAATCTAAATTTTCTATTTATAAATTTTAGAATTTAGACAGGTGAGCTACCTATAAACAAAGGGTTCAATATGAATACTATATTTTGATATTATCCATGCATTCAATACCCTTCGGATATTACATATCCTTAACTCTATCACACTTGTAGTAAGGACCCAATTAAGTTTAGTAAGAGTATTTTGCGCCCATAGTATAGACAAAAAAACATAATACCTTGGACAAAAAAAACATAATTCCCTGGCCATCAATTTAGTTGCAGTTTAGGTCAACCTTAGACGAGTTACGATGTTAAAACGAGGCCCTGAAAACACGAGTGGAAGAAATCCAACAGAAACAAATGCATTGAGGTAACTCTAAGAACACTATTGTTCTCATTATTTCATTGTTGACCTCATCCTCGAAAATGCATTCTATTTTACCTTTTTGAAAATGAGTGTTTAAGATGAAAAAAATATTGACACAAACTATCATACTATAAATCAAAGGGAATGTGACTTTTTTTTCTTCTCTATTTGGGAAGATTTTGCAAAAGAAAAAAACAGGGGTAAAGTCAAAACAATGTGTAATGTATCTTCAAAATCTTTAGGTGAAAAGAATTGCAGTGGAGAAAAGGGAATCAACACATGTGAATCATTTAGAAAATGATGTTTTCTCTAACGTATTTGTTTATCATTTGAGATGATAACTTCTTCAAGATAGACTTTCTTCTAGGGAGAATCTGTTCAAAAGAGGGTAATTGTTGATTCAAATGGAATTGTTGGTCCCTGTGTGATGGTATATTGAGTCAGTCTCCCATCTTTTTGTCACTTGTGAGTTAGCATTGTCAGTATAATTCTTTGTTTGGTTGAGTTGATCACAATTGGTATTGGAAAAAAATTCCATCCCAGCAAACAGAACACAAATACAATTACTTTATTTTCATGTTAACTAAATTCTTCATTCAGTTACAATCACAGATGAGACAAATAAGATAAAATACAATTTTATGAATCCAGAACAACTTTTTGGGTCACTAATGTAATAACTGTTAATCAAATGAATTGAAGTTATTTAATCAATGAAAACAGCAACAACAAGCATAATCTCCAGCAGATATAATTTCTAAAAACTTGCATCTTTTTACAGACTCTGAAAGCGCCACTTCATGAATATTGAAGTTAAGATTCCTTCACCAATGCATTCTCATTTGGAGGTGATTATGGTCGGAATTTGGCATGCACTCAATAAGCACTACATGAATAACATAATGATTAAGGTAGAGTGGACAATACAGCTTATGTACATCTTGTGATCTATTATCGTTACACAGCAGGTACGCTGATGGATCCCATGTCAAGTACTCTTGGCAGTATCTGCACAATGGAACAGCTTGTTTAAATTTGGGGTAGTAAACATGCAATTTTCAGAATTTACAGTCAAGATCAGCCCCAAGCCATACCTCACCCAGCCGCGCATTGATTTTCAAGGGCACAAAACCATCAGCACGGGTCAGACCTACATTGACAATTGCAGTTGCGGCACCTGCTTCATGAGCTGCCCTGTGAAAATAAAATTTAGAAATGAGTGATGCTAGATATGCCGTCTGTCCTTTGGAACATTATCACCGAAGAAGACAACCTTCACAATAATCGACAATCAAAACATATTATGCAATTCACATTTAATTTACCTAAGCAAGAACCCACAAGCCGCTAATTTGGTAAAAATATTTCATGGCTTGAAGCTCAATACATTCTTTCCAAATTCCAAATAACTCTTGTTCATTCCAAACACTATAACAAAAAGGCCAACATAATCTTGAAAATACCTGACAAGTCGAAAAGCAGACATGGTCATCACAGACGAACCTAGTACAAGAAAAGCATCACAACTTCTAGATGCTTCCATTGCCATACCGGCTCTGTCCTTTGGAACATTATCACCGAAGAAGACAACCTTCACAATAATCGACAATCAAAACATATTAAGCAATTGACATTTAATTTACCTAAGCAAGAACCCACAAGCCGTTAATTTGGTACAAAATAAAACAGGATCGAAGTATCCGCTAAACACAAATAGCCAGCAAATATTTCAACTGAAAAAGGCAAAATGACCTACATCAGGTTTGAGAACACCATTGCACTTCTGGCAGGTTGGGATGATAAAATCCTCCTCCCAAAACTTTTCGTCGATCTCAATATCACCATCAGGTCTTTGTTTCATTCCAAAACTTTTGTCTGACCCAGGGTTTCCATGGTCCAAACTATCAATTGCTTCTGCCCACTGGTTTAGAACCCAATGTTCCAAAAATTAGACTCATCAGTAAAGGCAAACTTGGAAGAAGTTTATGCATTCCTACAGTTTGAGAAACAAAAACTCCAACTAATACATTTATTATTTGATAAGCTGAAGCATTAGTAACGGATGAAAGCAATTCATTTTCCCTTCAAATTGATACTCAAGATGCAAATCATATTTTTCTAATTTCAGTTGAAAACCCATATAATATCTGAGCAAATCCTAGGATAATATTTCCTGCTTTTATTTTATTTTATTTGATTATGTTGTTTACCTAACAGGAAACACAAACCTATAAAAGAAACTATTGAAAAAGATGCCGAAATTAACGAATTGGATAGAAACATGGTCTTGGATAGAACATTATGACGGAATTATGACGGAATTTGATTCATGTAGCCGACCCCACTTGGGGGAGATAAGACTTTGTTGTTGTTGTTGTTGTTGTTTACTTAACATATTTGTTTCCTTCTGTCAAAAAAAAAAAAGCAGATTTGTTTCCTACATAAGGATCAATTCTGCCTTCATTTCTCTCTTTTATTTAACATATTTAGTTGTCTACAATTAACCTGTAATTATAAACCATTTGATGGAACCACTGTTCTCCCCCAAGTCATGCACCAGATGGACCACACCCAACAGTTTTAATTTTCACATTCTAAGACTTCTATTTCAGCAGATTTAAAACCTTTTGAGCAAAACTAACCCAAGCAAACCATCAACACACAGTATTTACACACATACGACAGCTATCACCCACCAAGAATCATTAGATCTTCTCAATATCATGATTGTGTTTGTCAAACTCACTTCATCAACAAATTTTGAAATAACAAACCGCTTCTTAAGCACGTGGTCATTGACAACACAAACTCCCAATAAAAATAACCCAAATTACTGACCTTTGGATTGAGGACCTTCAATTGGTCCTGAAATAAACTCCGGCAAAGGGAATATCCACAATCTAAACAAATTACAGTGTATACAGTCCCATGTAATTCTAATGGGTTGCTACCAGCTCGATGATGGAGCCTGAAAACAATATATAACTATAAGAATATTCAAAGATAGGCTTGCATAAACATGTAAGTATTCTAAGTAGGTTTAGTTGATAATGATTAATAACTAGATACCTATCAACATTTTGAGTAATCATAAAATCAATTCGGCCAGCTTTCTCGAATGTTGCCAAAGCACGATGAGCAGCAGATGGCTGTGATGCAGTGAATTTTCTCCATCCAGCATAGCTCCTAGCCCAATATCTCCTCCTGGCTCGGCTTGAACGAAGAAACTCCTTTTAAATAATGTCAAAAGAAAGGAGAACTCAAACTCAGATACTAAGTTCAAACTGAATACATAATTCCTTAGTTTTCTTGACTATGTTTGCCATGAATCTGTAGTTGAGTTTGTCCTCCCCCCTACTTCATGTCATTGCCATAAATCGTCAATTTCAGTACAAACATGGCATGCCAAATTCTATATCACATTCATAGAAGGTGAGAATATTGTTTCCCAATGTTTTCTTGCTTACTTTCCTTACATCAAGATACAAATATTCTGTTCAATTTACTCAAACAGCCACTTTTATTCTCTTTTAGAAAACCTTAATCACAAATATTCCGGCTTTTTTTCATTGGCCATGATACTTAAGGTGTTTAAGAATATTTATATGCACAAGATCTATGTTTTCCTATCCTTAACTATCACTTTTTTTGTTGGGGATAGTTTCCTATTGAATTTGGGCACCATCACAAAACAGTAAAAGAAGCAAGTCTGGTTGACTTGACTTTAGCTCACCTGGTGGGTTATTGGTCTGAAACCAGAACTATAAGCACCATTAGGACTGAAATAAATAATAAATTGCTATTAGCGAAATGGAAGAACAACAAAAACAGAATAAAAAGATAACATTCTAGCATCAAGAAAAAGGCAGAACCTTCTATAGTCAGGGATACCGCACTCTGTACTTATTCCAGCTCCAGTCAATACCATGAGCTTGGTACTAAATATAAAAACTGAAATTCAGTTAGGTATGTGTTTCATCCTGAAAATGTAAACTAGTTCAAAAATATATTTGTAACTGAAATTGAAAAAGAACCTTTTTTCAAAAAATTGATATAAAAGGTCAACATCTTTGGCACTAGGAGGCTCTGCATCAGGAACTACCTTCCTATCCCTTAAGACATCATTAGACTGTTGTTTTACATTATTTACAATTGGGAAGGTTCCAGGTGCAGATATTCGACACGATGTTTGAACAAACCTCACACAACCCTTGAATGATATGAATCTCCCTCCCGTTGTTGGTAAGTTCCAACTTTGAGTTCGTAGCAGTTTCGTGGCCAATACAAGGGACTGCGATGTTTAGAATTAAAACAAAGACGGTTTTAGAGATTGATAATGGAAGTGAATGATTTGCAATGAAATGAACTTACGGTGAAAGAGATGCAGGGTGACATTGAAAATAATAGCAATTCAATACGCGAAACAGAGAGGGAGACTCAGCGCGCTCTCATCGGTAAAATCGTCGTCTCTTTGCTTTTCTTTATCGGTTCATTACTATTTCACCCACTCTTCCACGTTACACACTTTTCTGCCGCCTATTTCATGCTTTCACAAGAAAATTATAAAATAATTGGAAAATCATATTAATCATTTGTTTTTACAATACTTCTTAAATGGATCTCAAGTCTCTTTGTTTCAATTTGTTTAAAAATTGTTTTTACACTATTATATATTTTTGTTACAAAAATTTTATAATATCTTTTAATAAAACTTTATTTTAAATATTTTATTATTTTAACGAGTTTTATTTTTTAATATTAAAATTTTAAATAATAATTTTTTAATTTTAAATAATTTTTTTAAAAAGGAAAAATAAGATATATATTAATAAACAAAATGAGTCACTCTGATATATATCAACAGACTGCATACTAACATTTGATAAACAAGATAAATGATTTAACCTCTTGAATTGGTAATCATAATTGAAATTAATATATTTCGACTTTAACCACCAAAACGAATAAAACTTTACCCTTTTAGATACACCTGCAATTGCTATATTTTATTCTAGAAAATACGCCTATTTATTTCATTCTAAATAATTCAAACCACGGCGAACCAAATAGTGTTAAAAGCCAACCGATTGTTTTTTGAGAACCCACGATGACCACCAAACTACAAACAATGGTCAAAAACATTTTCTCGAGATGTTGTTGAGAATCCTAATCAATTAAGAATCCACCGAAAAAATTACATGTTACAAACAAATGATCTCTATCTTCAACCACGTCACAATTTGCCACACAACTATGATCATCTGTAACAAGAATCTGTCGCCTAACCAGATTGTCCTTCGCCGGAATACGATTCAGTAACAACCACCAGGTTGTCCTTCGTCGGAATACAATCGAGTAACAACCTTAAGCGACGCAATCTTCAAACATAAAAATTGGGAATTAGCCTGATTGTTGATAATATCAACTTCAAACAGATATTTATAAGCACTGATAACAGTGTAGCAAGAAGAGGAATGTAAAATTCACATCCAACAGTTTCTACTTCCACCTGTAAGACAAATGAGGTTAACCTCTCACTACACTCTACCACTAACCCCTCCACCCAATAAAACAACCTCATACGCCACTTTTACGCCTCTCCATTCGCCCCCACTCCAATTCATTCATTTCTACCACTGCCGCTCTTTTATTCTCCGCTAAATCAAATAACCTACTAAGTATCTCATTCAAAGGCATAACATTCGACCAAGGATCTATCCGAAACAGAGTAGAATACATGTCTTCTATTCTTCGATCAATGTTATCAATCCACCACCTTCCATCAACCAAACTAACACCCTCCCTTATGCTTTTCAAATTCCTCCCCCAAGCAGATCCACCGCAACTCCCAAAACATAATCGCCCTTATTCCTCTCCATATCGAGCACTCAAAACACTATACCATCGACTTTTTGTCTCATTTAGAATCCTCCAACACCATTTACCGAGTAAGGCTAAATTAAACTCCTTAAAACTCTTAACCCCCAGACCTCCATCTTATTTTTTCAAATAAATAATATCCCAATTGATTCACAAAGTTTTTTCTCACTCCCTCACCCCTAAAAAAGCATTAAAATATATATTAAAGAGAAGATATGATACTTGAGGGCGCCTTGAAGACAAGATAAATTTTATAAGAATCATACGACCCCCATAGAGAGAAAGCGACTCTTCCACCCTGTTGTACCCCAAAATTTGCCCTCCCATATTTCTTCAAGGTTTATCAAGAATCATCTTCAAATGGTTAAAGACCACTCAAGGATTGCACAGTCCAAATGCCTCCTAAGCCAGTCAAAATTAGGGTTTTGGTTCTTTCAAGGAATTTGAGGTTTTCAATGGCTCAATCAAGTCCCATAGGTCTATATACATTGTCAAGCATCTATATGTCAAGTCTCAAGTCTCACAATGCCAGTTTGCACAGTCAAAAGCTCCATTTGCTTCACAATCAACTGCAGGGGCAAAATGGTCATTTTACTGTCAAAAGTCAGAATTTTTGGTCAACATCTTATTTTGAGGCCACAATCATCATTTTATCAAGTCTTGATCATGATTCCACAAGCATGGCTCAAAAATCATCAAGATGCAAAAAGTTACTATTTTTGGACAGTAGAAAAGTCAACTGTATCTTGACCAGGGCATAACTTTTTCATGGTTCATCAGAAAAATTCTATCCAATGCTCATTTTGAAGGGGATGACACTTCCTACAATTCATCTTCATACTCCAAGTCCAAGAAATGCTCTCACAAAAAGTTATCAATATCTACATTATAGGTCAAATTCAAAAGTCAATAAAAAGGCACTTTAAGTCAAAGACCATAACTTGAGATTGGTAAATCCAAATGACATGGGACCAAAGGCATTGGATTGAGGACTTCAAGACCTTTCCAAAATATCCAAGAACATGTTCATATGATCAAAATTGAGCAAGATGTGCATTGGAGAAGTTGGGAAATGTTTGTGAATTTGCAAAAGTCAACTTTGCTCAAAACACTTTGTTTTTGCTAATGGGCCTCAAATTTCTTCTTGAAACTTTATCCAAGGCCTATGCACGACCCATCAAGCTTAAATTGATTTATTTTCTTATTTTTATTAATTAATTGGATTTTTAATTGATTTTAATTCATTTAATTAATTTAAAATGTAGGAAATTCAAAGATATGGTTTTTCAATCTTTTCATGAAGCAAATATGACCTACAAGAGCTGGAAAATTCGTGTGCACATCAAGGGGACAAGAATCTCCCAATTTAGCAAGTTTTCTCAATCAAAAAGATGCAAAAAGATGTGATTGAAAATCAAATATTGAAAACATTATTCCATAGATTTTTGGTCAAAGATTTAACCTAAATTCAGTCCATTATATATACACAACTCAACCCTAATGCATTGGACGTGATTTTGCTGCAAGAAAGCCATATGCAACATTGGAAAAAATCAAAGAAAACTCAAAATTGTTTTCAATCTTCCAGGCCAATTCAAGGACTTTGGTTGTTTCTAACACCTTGCTGGAAGTCTCAGGGACACATTGCAATCAAGACCACGCGTTAAAGCCCCAGAAATCACCTTACACTGAACCACGGTTTGCATAATTTTCTCAGAATCGAAATTCATATTTTATGCATCATTAACACGTTTTGTTGTTTGTTTTGTGTTGCTTGAATCCACAAGAAGCTTTTGGCATAGGTTAATTGGACTGAAACGCCCTGAATCACAAATCACCATGAACGAATCTTAGGGTTTCCAAGCTTCCAAATTAGGGCTTTTCAGGTCCGGTAAAATTAGAACCTCTAATGCCCATGGTTAGATTCGTGAGAACCAGACGAAGTGAAAGCCATACTCGCGAACAATTTATGTTAATCCTATGCCTATTCGCTATTATTGGTCATCTTGTTTTGTGGGGGTTAAAAACCCCGCTATTTGATTTGTTTTGCAGGTATTCAGGGAGGAAGATGAAGACGTGTTGATAAACCATTGGGCCATTTGAAAAATATGCGCGCGTTTTAGTTTTACAGCATAGGAATTAATTATTGAATATATTAATTATTGGTTGTTTTACTAATGACTGAAGCAAATTGGTGGAGTGGTTAAGGCAAGCGCGTAATAGGCATTGGGACCTGGGTTCGATTCCCAGGTCCACCTCATATTTGTTTCTATTTTTCATAACATAATCATGTGCAGGCATTCAAAAGTATTCCACCATATCCCTCAAATAATCAGGCGCTAGGTGGCCTCCAACGCAAATCCCATGGCTCATGTTGAAAGACTACCATGATCCTCAGTCAACAAACGCCTAGCCAATTCCCAAAGTCAAACAGGATGGAGATCACAATGGGCTTCCAATCTCCAAACTCACCTCCTAATGGGCCCAGCACCCCCTGGTTCTTTCTTAATTTTAATTTTTTATTTTTATTTTCTTTTACTCATTATTATTAATTATTATTATTATTATTATTATTATTTAATTAACTCACATAATTATTTTTCATAATAAATTCAGACAATTAAAAAATGTAAATATTATTTATTTTATTTATTAAATTCACTATTAATTATTTTTGTAAATAAATGTAAATTAATTAATTTAGTCCTTTTATTAATTAGATTAACTTTGACTTTTTTCACAAATATAAAATTAACATAGAATTAGGGTTTTGACAATTTTAATTTCTTTTATTTTTATTTTCATTAAGACATTAAAAAACTAAAGAATACTTTTTTTTTCTTTTAATTATTTAATTAATTAGTAAATTAGGTTCAATATTTAATTAATGGCAAAAAAGGACCAAATTTCATTCTTTTCTCAAAAAGGGTCAAAACCCTAAGACTTTTCCCGATTTAATTTCTATTCGCGCATGTTTATTCTTAATTATTATTTTGATCATATTTATGTATCTGTTCCGAGAATGTAATAGATAATTAGGGCTTTTATCGCTTTCTTTTATTTTCCCGCAATTTATTTTCAAAGGGTTATGTTTTTGGCGATGTAAATACCCGACGCCTTGTAATAGCGTAGATTTACTTTCCGCAATTTATTTTCCGCACAATTATTAACTGTTAATTATGCATGACAAGACTTGTATGAAAAATAAAATCAACCTGTAGCTCACAATGATGCATGCAAAGACAATTTAACTTGAAACTTGACACACTCGCACATGCCACTCCTAGGGTGCGCCTCACTTGGTTGCCTCGAGGTGGTCATTGAGTATAGGGTGTTTTAGAGGTCGCCCTCCTGTCTAAAGATCCAGTTGCCTTGAAACGGTTGCCTCGGATAAAAAGGATCTAGGACATTAGGGTTACCGCTAAGGCGTCCTACTATTGCTTTGGTGACCACATATGTCCCTATAATCGAATTGACCCGAATAACTCCAACGACGGTGCTACCTACTTCTCAAT